TTAGGCCAGGCTAAGCAGCTGAGGGCGCTGCAATCAATCATTGCTTACGTTTTGCCAGGATGAGAAACCCACTGGTTCAAATTTATTTTCAATTCTCTTTATCTCCGTTACGCCGATCATTTAAATATGTTTTGGTAACAAACATAAATAATTTTATTTCTGTTAAGAATGAGCAGGGTGCAAATGAATATGTACATACATATACATATATATAATTTCACAGTATTGAAAGCTTGCGCCAAAAGTATTAAACTGACATACAATCATATCTGTGATGTATTAAGCTAGATACGCACTCATTTCATTTACTCTCATTTTTATATATGTATATTTTTTATATTGTCTAGTATGTTGGTGAACCTATCGTTTACATTCGAAAATCATTTCTTCAATTAATGTTAATCAAAGATATAGTAAATGAATTAATATTAATTATTGAATAAAATTATTTATTAGCCGCTTTCACGTTTCTTTCATTAAGATAATATCGAAACAAATTATTGTAAAACACGCAGTTTTATAATGCACGCAGAATAAATATAGTTTACTCTATTTAAACGAAGCCAAAATATTTTACTTTATTTTAATAAAGCAAAAGTAGTATCTTAGGGTCCCTAGATTTACCCCCACCATTCTGCGATCCGATCGTGATAGGTATTTAGTATAACGTATTACAGAACACGATCAGATTGACATTTGTCTTTTTGCTCTCACGTGGATAAGGATAACGCATATCGTACTCTCGCAAGACAGCATTCATTTCCTAATATAGAGATTCAGGACACGGTGAACAAAGGTATAGCAATGGTTCGCGTAATTACTCAGGAAACTTACGATGAAGTTGTTAACGAAAATATGGAGCAATTTTCGATGACTCCTAAAGAAGCTATAGAAGACGCGGTAAAACAATTCGAAGCTCAGGTATTCAGATTTGTTTATTTCTGTTTTTATAACTTAGAGATTTGTGAAAAGTGCTTGTTCATTTGTTATGAAGTCTACTGCAAATTGTATAATGTGTCATTCAGAAGAATAATTAAAATTTTAATGTTATTTAACACATAGAAGTTCTTGAAATTGTAGTTTAAGCTTAAACAAATAGTGCATCTATACTATTATGTTAAAGGCATATTTTCCATTGAGTTAATTGTGTTTCATAGGTAGTGATTGTACGATAATAAGATCAAACTTATATTATTTTTATATCGTTTGGAATTAATTAATGTCTTCTCATACTAATAGCTAACTACCATATAAATGTCAATCTTTATTACACTGAATTGATTGTACATTTCAGAGTATGATGTGCAAGAATACTAGAATTCAAATAATCTAGCACACGTTACATAAGTACATAGTTGTTTTTATCACCTCTATTTTTATAGGGTGTAGACTTGAGCAACATCATTAAAGATTTAATTCTCAATGATGATAGCGAATTAATCGTATCTTCTTTAAATCAAATTAATAATGCTATAGAGGATCAGAATTATGAAAATGTTCATCATACATTAGACAAATTGAGAAATGAATTAGACAAAGATATCGCACGTAGAATATATGCTGGAAAGAAGGGGGCATATAATACTTTAATAAAATTAATGAAAGCCTGTCTTAATAATGCTACTATCATAAAATCTGCATTGAAAGCTATTACTTCATTAATGAATGGTAATCCAGACTTGTTGAATGACGAGGGAATAGCCTTGCAAATACAGTAAGAAGTTATTATTAGTTATGATCAGATATAATGGGTGATAGTTCTTCATATGTACATTATTCCATCGCTCCATTTGTTAGGATTTTAGATAGATATCCAGATATTTCAACATTACAATTACTTTTACGGTGGATAAGAGAATGTTGTATAAAACACGAGCTTAATAGACAAGGTATTTTTAATGCGGATATCTTTAACAAACTTAAAAAAATATTGATTCGTGATGATACGTCTGGACCCGAGTTAAGAGACGCTTGTGCTGTAATTAGAGCCTTGGTGTTAGATGATGATATTAGACACGAATATGGAAAAGCTCATGAGCATGCAAGTGTTATTGCAAAAGGAGCCCTCAATGTCCTTACTGGGTTGTTGCCAAGTAAATAGCATTTAATCGTTCCTGTGTTTAGAAATAATTGTGTACATGAAGTTTTAACATTGTATTTTATTGTATATAGGATATAAGAAAGATAAAGGGGTCGTGGGTGACTTAATGATAACTTTAGCGGCGCTAATCGTGCGGAACGAATTTTGTCAGGAAGTAGAAGATGCAGGAGGGCTAAAGTTCGTCATAGATGTTATGATCGATCATCCAGATTCAGAGAAATTAAATTGGCAAGCCTTAAAATTGTTGAAAGCCTTAGCTGGAAATGACGATGTAAAGTCTCATATTATAACATCAGGCTGTGGCCCTTTGATTGTTTCTGCTATCAGTAGAATGAGAGTAAGTTTGCATTTTTCTGACGTTGCTTTTAATGAAACACGTTGTCCAGTAATTAGTCTAGATCGTTGTATTGAAACGTTGATCACATCATAGGAATCTGAGTGTGTAGTGACCGCAGGACTTGCATGCATTTCCGCATTAACACTGAGGTGTCCCTCAAACGCTGGTGTGTTTTACGATTGTGGAGCGCCGCTTGTAATCGTAGAAGCGATGAAAGCTTATCCTAAAAGCGTGACTCTGTTGAAACAAGCTGCTTGGGCTGTACGCAATATGTCTGTACGAAATAAGGCAGAATGTTCAGAATTTATTACTCATGGTATAGAGGACGTCTTGACAAGTGCCCTTAAACTACACGGTTCTAAGGTCGAAAGTGACGTGAAGGCGGCTTTGAGGGACCTGGGACTGAAAGTAGAATTGAAAGAACGATGGACCGGTAAAGGCGTATCCATGAACAATTAATCATTGTCATTGCGACCATATGCGACTTGAAAATGTTTCAAACATTTTTTACATTTTGCTTGAAAAAATGTCAAATATATATCAAAACTTAACAGCTGATATTAGTATTTTTCATAGCACTCGTATTTATATATATTATATATATATTGTTTTTTTAACTTGTTTTTATATACTAGATATATTTATATGTTGTGTATTATTATAAATTTATAATAAACTTTTATCTTTAATAGGATAAAAATGTGATTGATGATTCACGATTGCGCATGAAAACCACTGATATAATTCTTATCGTGACAGCTTGTTTGCTGATATTGTTTCAAAAAATCGGATTTTCATAGTTTTATCTTTTCTTTCTTTTTATTGAACAAACACAAAATCTTGTTTGCCAACACAGGAACAATACATTTCCGAAAAATTGAGATTCGGTTAATAACAATTACGCGAAGAATGTATCTTATTTGCTAGACATTTCAGACAAACTTTTCAATTCGGTTACCAATCTGATTCGGTATTTTCGTAAAGTATAAGCTCGATTTTTAATATTTTGTCATTTCGGATTTTCAAGGTCCTTTTGAGCAACGTCAGGTGTATAATATACATGTATCCGATTATTGGGAATAATATCCGAAATTACATCCACGTTTAAACACGTAAACACATCCATGTATGATGTACACTGTACAACATTGAATTTTGCCGATCAGTCTATACTCTCCATTTTTCCTTTACACGTCTCTACAACAGATACAATGATAAACCATCGGGAAGAAGTTTCCATGAAATTACCCCTCCGACTGTTTTAACAATAGTGATAAATATACTCGACGTAATAGATATTGTTCTCAATAGGCTTTAGTAAGGATTTAAAACATTAAGAATTAGGGGGTTAAAATTGATGAAAACTTCTCATGTTATAGACAATGTTCTTTGAATATCATAGAATACACATTTACGATGAGGAACTGGCGCTCGGTCCGCGACAGTTCCTTACATCGATAAACCATTGTTAATTATTCTTCGTTGTACTTCACTCCTGCAAGAGACTACGATTATATCACAGTCTTTGACGAGGTCACATTTGCTGGCGAGCTCTATACGTCTCGAGCGAATGTGATAATACAATAAACATACCTTTATTTACTAAAAGGTGATCGAAAGTAGACGCAAAATATCGTGAGTTCGAAAATGAATCACAGCTTAGATCTCTACGTTTACTTTCATAGATCCAAGTGTACTTTTGGTTAAAGCAATCGCGTAAGAAAATATATATATGTATATATTTGAAAAATCTACTAGAAGAAAATATAAATACAGCCTTTGGAAAATGAATTTTAACTACGCTGCTATCTTATTAATCCAACGATCCTTCGATAGCTAGAATCGGTTTCGATTTGTGCAAGTGATCGTTTCTAAGTGTAGAGACAAACGTAATGCTCGTGTGGGTACGTTACATGGTGAAATGTATACACCGCTTGTATCTCTACGAAACGCATGCCCACATCGTAAGGTACTTGAAACTTTTTTTTTTTTCTTTTTTCAATGTTGCTCGACTACTCCTTTTCTATTCCTATCCTTGCAACACAAGTCAGCACTTGCTGGCCATTTAAATAACATACCGTAGGTAGGGGGATGCCCTTCGCCGAGACACGTACATTTACCATTCATGGTGCGCGTCACAGCCATAAATATTAATACTCAAATAGTAAACGGGATACGGTACAGTTATAGGTATACAGATCTACTGTAAGAGCTGACGTTCGGTTGAGCAACTTTTCTCCAATCTGGCACGAAAGTCATTACCAACCATGTAATTAGATGCGTTTTGTTGAATCGGTAATAAGTCTGTAATTAGAACTTGCGGAACTGTTTCGTACACGCATGCAGTACACGTATTTCGGATCGGTAGCTACAACGTGCGTATAACAAACGAAGACTAGCAAATGGACAAAAAGAAAAAAAAAGAAAAGAAGGAAATCGAAAGTAAAATGGAAAAGAACCGAACGAACGAGAAGAATAGAAAATTCTACCTCGTCTAAAATAATTCGGGTAATCGACACTTACCTGTGAATCAGCCTGTGTCGGTGTAAATTAAATAAACGATACAAGGAAAAACGGAAAGTTTATTGAAACGAATTGCAACAGAAATTAGAACAGCTTCTCGAGAGACACAAAGCGGGCTCGGAGTATGGTACGGTGTCCGCAGATTTCCTTGATGTTGAGAAGGCAAACCGGAATGCGATTTAATTGACACTGAGAATCGATTGCCAACGCAGTTTTCACGAGGTTTCCGTTAATCGTTTGAAAACGTTACCTACTTAAAATTAACTCAACGTTCATATATCTTATAAAGGTGTTTGTACGCGCGATTAATTCATCGATTAATAATACGTCGAAAACCTCTCGCGACTTCTACCAGGGACGACGAAAATTAAATTCGATTCTACGTATACAGTATACCAGTGACTTTATACTTTCTACACAGAGACAAGCGTATATTTGATTCGATACCATTGCTATAGTTAATATCCTACGACTATGCTCGCATATTAAGAACAGGCGAATCAGTTGAGTTGACATCGACCACATAGAACGACGAATACACGAACGTCTTGATACTTTTTCGTGGTTAGCCCGAGGTGAAATATTTTCCTAGAGATCGAACGCGTTTCTCGAACTCGTTCCTCGAGACAGGAACGTTAACGAGGGGAAAGGATGTCGACGTGCTTCCGGTTCGGAGTTGCCGTGCTGTCCTTGTCGCGGATGAATTTGTTAATAAGTCGGGTTCGTAAATCAAAATCGCCAGATTCGTTCGGTTCGATATGTTAATTAAATGCTCAGATAACAGAAATTACCCGCGGCCTGCATCCATCGTGGTACAAATAGTCTATACGGGCACATAAATAAAGTTTTGCAACTAATACAGCCTACCTATCGTAGTACATCGAGAGCACATGCAGTCGTATCGATCGACACGTTTTGCTTCTTCTTTTCGCGGAGACACCGCAGGCAGCTCGTGTACTCGCTCGGAGCTCGTTTCGTTTCGCGTGTCCACGCACGCTTGTCCAGGCACAAGCTCGCAGGTTTACCTAAATGGATACATGGGCGTACAGGTTTCACGTGGAACGCGCATGCAAATGGGACCGCAACTCATCCAGGGGCGTAACAATGATAATCCCTCGTTCCTTGCCGACGATCGAGCGTATTTATCGGTCCCTACTAAATCTACGGTATCGCAGGATTTCGGAAAAATTCGATAGCAACTTCCCCCGTCCATAGCCTTTATCGATGCTCACATGCTTTTGCTTTAGAAACGTTTGCTTCGCTCTCGTTCTAAACGCACGACTCGAGATTTCGAAGTCGAATTATCGATGTCATCGGTCTTGGTCGAACACGGCGGAATTGGAGTGCGGGGCCAAGATCGATGCATTGACAAAATTACGCCCCTGCAGCTGGCTGTTCACGCGGTCACTCTGAGAGATATCTACACACGCAACACACGTGCATACATGCCGTACGATACGAGTTTCTGGTGCACAGACGCATCATGCTGTCTGGCGTTCCATTTACAAACGCCCTCGGTACACTTGTTTATTCTCCAACGACTAGTTGATTCTTCTGTACTAGCGAATTTTCACCTATTTTCTGCATTTTCGCGTTCAATTAAATAATCGTTCTTCCGCAACGTGCCGCGTCGGAATAAGATAACAGAAGGAATAAAGTTACGCGGGGTTAGCTTGTTATCGCGTTAAATAAAATTATACATGTAAGAGGGTCGTTCCTTTGTCACAGTCTTATTGGTCGCTAAAATCCCCCGTTCAAGTTTCCCCGTTTACATTTAGCTAAGGGAGGAAAGCAACGAGTTTAATCGAACACAAAACGGCCGCGACCATGGTCGGGTGGACCTGCCTGAAACGGTGGCTTGTTCTCGCCGTCGAACGACTATTCACGACACCGACAGCACGAATACTTGTAGTACTTGATGCGGCACAGACCGTTCTTCACGACCAACGCACAATTTGGATGTTTGTCGACGCACTCCGACGACGCCTCGTAAGCTTCTGAAATTGTCAACAATTTATAGATTCGTTAACACACGTTGCAATACGAACCGAATGAAATACGAAGGACCAAAAAGCTTACTTTTCGGTGGTTTGCTCGACGACGAAGGATCCTTTTTACACGGATCCAAACTGCACTGCTGGTGGCCGCTAGGTTTCGCAACATCCTCGCAATTCGAGTTGCTGACACCCTCGAGAATACAACGAACCAGCCTGGTTTGCACTCCGGTGCCGCATGTCACCGAGCACTGAAAAACCGTGTTGGTATTTATATCCATATTTATATGGGTATTTATATCGCAAAGTCAAAAAGTCACGGTGGTCGAGCGATCGTAAATCTACGCGCCCGACTCGACTCTGGCGATTTACCTTCGACCAGTTCGAGGTGAACCATGTCGGTGTACACGCGCTCGCTCTGCATACTTGTTCGTTTGCTGGCCTCGAACCGTTGCAATTGCTCGCCGGCGACACGACTAATTCTTTGTTCGTCCTTGCGACGCAAAGGACTTCTCGATACTGGACACCCACTCCGCAAGACACGGAACACTGAAACCATATTTGTCGATGCATGTTCAATCGAGACGATAGCAACTGATACGGTGGCGTCGTTTTGTCGTCACCAAAGATTCGACGACGAGCCACGAGAGTTACTCTGTGTTTGGTTATCTGTTACTAACGAATGACCATGGTCCGGTGAACCATTTCGCGCTATCGCAGTTCGATTCTCTTCCGAAACATTGTCTCTCCGTTTCCGGCCTCTCTTTGGGATTGCAGAACAGCTCGCTACCATCGGCACAGGCCACTTGCCTCGTTTCCACTCCGCTACCACATTCTGCCGAGCACTGAATCAAAGATAAAGAGACGCGTTCGGTGGATATCCCGTGTCTTACAATCCTTCCTTTTCGATTATTGATTTTACCTTGGACGACCATTCCGAGTAGAGCCAAGGAGCACTGTGCTCGATCCCGGTGCGCATACAAGGCGCGGATTCGCAGATTTTCCGAGAGTCGGGTTTGTTGAACGCGGAACAGGCATCACCCGACGTGATGCATGTCACCGTTCTGTTACGAATTCCCGTTCCACAAGTTGTCGAGCACTGAAATCGTAAAAGCCCGCTGAAACCGTGTCAGCCGTTCGAGTACAAAATGCATTTCGCTTAACCGTTGCATTAGCCGGGCTTCGGGCCACTTTTCTAAGCGAAAGGAAGCGGCAAAGCTACTTTACAAGGAGCGCTCTATCTGTATGGAAGGGAAAAAAACAAGAAAAAAGGAACGACGTACTGGGCCCCAGGCGCCGACGTCCCATCTGGGTGTGTCGTGCTGAGAGTGCATGTGCCTCAATTCCGGACCGTTCGTGCAAGCCGGTTTCGTACAGGTTTCCACGCTTCTAAGGTCAGGCGGTTGTACGCACGCACCGGCTGCCACTCGCATCGTCAAATTCGCATTTAGTTCCTGTACGCACTCCAATTTCCGACTCCTTGTCCCGATGCCGCAGCTGACCGAACATTCGCCCCACGGCTCGGCCCTCCACCTGCAACCACGTACAATTCGTTTGCAAATTTAACGAGCGAGATCGTTTTGCGAGCCAATTTTGCGAGGCGAATTACCATAAGAAAGCGAGTTACCTAGGCGGACAGGGGTTGTCGTTGCAACGCAACGGGGGCGGTTGTTGCGGTTTTTCCACGCTACGACAACGTTTGTCGTTCACGATCATCTGCCTGTTCTCGCGGAAGCACTTGAAGATCGCCGTCTGAACGCCTAGAAACGGAAGTGGCATTTTAACGCTATCTTCGTTTCTTTTTACGATTTTCCTTCGAACGTAATTCTTCCGGCCGTGTGATGTTCGCCGAGATCGCAACTTGCTCGAAAGGATCGAAGGGTCGCGCGGTATTCGAGGCCAGTTATCGTCGTTGTCGAGAATGGAAATTAAGAAAGGGTCCGTGACAGCTGTCTCGACGTTATCTCGGACTCGCCCGTATGAGCCGTCAGTCTAAATGAAAAAAATCTCGGTGGTCCTGGCTTCGCGATGCGGCATCGGACACGGTCGCGTGTAAACGTTCCGACGTCAAAGAGAGAGAGAACGGAGAGCCGACCGCTGGAAAATAATAACGCGAACGTTGGTCACGGATGTGGGGCTTCCTGCTAATAAATTTCATGAATTGGATGGCACTTCCGCGATGGCGATGAGCGAATCGAGCGTTGTAATCTCACGGCCCTCCGAACTCTGGCGATAATACCGAAACGAACGAGTCTCGGCCGACTTCCCACGCGCGCCTCGATTAGTCGAGCTGCTTGTTCGTTCCTAAAGCTCGTTTTAATTGTCTACGCGCTTTTTTCCTAATTGCCCGTTTAATTACCGTGTCCGAAAAATCGAGCTCGTGACCCCATCACCAGTTGAAACATTGATACAGATTAGAATCGTGTGGGAAGCGTTGTAACTTCGATTATGTGCAACATCTTCTTTCGTTATTCGTCTTACGAAATAAACGACGAAGAAATTGAGAAATCTCATACCTCCTCCGCATTCCTTGGAGCAAGGAGTCACTCCGAACATCTTCCAAGAGAATCGCAGACGTTTCTTCTTTTTGTTCTTCGATTTTGGCTGATCCCCGGCCATCACCGTAGTAGGCGAATGCCTCATCTCTTCCTTCCGTCCTTTCTCGCGAGCCCGTGCTCGATCTTGATTATGACTCGTCGGTGATAAATCTGCTTTTTGATTGGATCTGAAAAGGCGAAAGTGCTGTCTACCTTGACGTACGAATCGTTTCGTTCAACTAATTCGAATAATCGATCTTGATAAAACAAATTTAACAGGTGTAAATATTTGCGAATATTTACATTCTAGTGACCGGAAAGGTTGGCCGGATGCGAGCATCCGAATCGGGGATTTCGTTGCCGCGATCGACGGATCCTGCGAAAAGGGCAAGATACCAAATCATTCAAAGATCATTCCGCGCTTCGCCCAAAGTCAGTTACATAAAGGTATCGTCCTGAAAACCTTCCTCGATGAATTACCTATCGGAAAGAACGGCGGTGCTATCACTGGCTTTCCATTGAACGGCATCATGTATTTGTAAAGCACTCCAGGGTTCATTTCCTGCGCCAGAATCTGGAGAAGCGATTTAAAAGTACAATACTCGCGACATCGACGTATGACATCGCGGTTAAAGTACAATATCAAGTCGAGAAACGATCCTCGATGGAAAAGAAAAAGAAAAAAAAGAAGAAAATAGATAGTCGATCCAATAAATTCGAACGAGTGAGATATCAGAGACTTCTTTATGGGCGTACCTCTAAATGCAAAGAATCGTTCAGTGGCCCGGTTGCCAAGATACACTCCATGCGGTTTTTGTCACCCCTCTGGTATGTTAATGTCGTGCCAGCCGCTTTATAAGTGCCGCTTGGACTGTAAGCCAAGGGTCCGTTCAGGATGTAACTACCGTTGCTGTCTTTCAACGCTAACACATCGGATTATTCGTTAACAAAGCATGGAGGGAAAGAGGCATTGCTTTCATAGCCCTAAATAAACGCGGTTTCGAGCGTGTTTTTTCATGAAATACCTAAGAAGTTACTACTGAAACGTAGTTCCGAGATGTTGAGAGACATGGCGCCTTTCGGGATGGTGGTTACGGGTTGATGACCCCTCGGCAGGATTGGTTCCATAAAAATACCCTCGTACAGTCTACAACCTTTACCCTGACCACCGCAGACACCACAAGCGTCCATCGTAACGCCGGAACCTACCACACCGTCGCAACCCACGGACTGTGAAAAAAAAAACGAAAGAGTAAAAATATACAAGCACTTGAAAATGGACTTGTGTTTTATACCGTGAGCGTAACATGACGTTTCAACGATAACAGAACGGATTAATGGGCTGAAACAATTCGAAAATTAGCGTGAAACGACATACCATCGAACAACGGGAAGCAACACAACGCGAAACAACGTCGGGCAGAAGGGAGGGAGAGAAAAAACTAGCGGAACGAACAAAGGGGACACGGTTAACTAGTCGCGTCGCCATCAAATCGGGTGTAATTAAAAAAATGCAAAGGGAAAGAAAAAAACGTCGCGCGCCGATTTGACCGATCGCATCGACGAGGAATCACGATTAATTTCCCGTCGTGACGTGGAGGAATACTTTGGCTTGACTCATCGTACCTTGCATTGTCCGGCGACACAGAGCCATCGGTCTGTGCGTTCCATAGAAATTCCGGTATTATGTCCACGAAGATTCGGAGCGTCGCAGGGTGCGCCGTCCATTACTGCCGGTTCAAGCGTTGCATAAAAACGCTCGCCAACGGCGCGGCAATTGAGCGCGCAAGAATTCGGTACTGGTCAACAGTAATAACAGTTAAAAAAAAAAGAGACACTGGATCCTTTTGAAGGAACGACTCGTGAAACGTTCAATTACGCGAGAAAAATTTATAACGGACGAGTAGTTAGAGAAAAAAATTGAAATTACACGGAGCAATTTTTATAATGTTATTTCTACGTTAGTCATCGTTTTCTTGTTTTAACTCCGCTGCAGATTCAAAAAGAATTTAAAGTAAGTTATCTCGATGATTTTATTTCGGTCATCCCGTACAAGCAATGCCAAACGCTGTACAAAGCTGACTCGAAACAGACGCGTTCGAAGCGTACTAAGATAAGTACAATACAACGTCGTGCTTTAACACTAAATTGTCGACAAAGTGGCAAGACGAAACTCGCAGCGACTTTAGCTTACCGTCCAAGAATGGAACCCAATCGTAGCTCTCGCCCTTGTAGTTTCTTCCGTTGTACTTGGCACATTGTTCGGCCCGCAAATCCTCCGGGAAGTTCGGGCATTTCTGTTGCAAGCAATGGCTTAATTAAACTCCAGGTAATTAACGATCGATTGTTGGGAAAGTTGTTACGCTGTCACTTGGGGCGTCTGACGACCCACGGCTCGATCGAAATACGAGAGAATTTTTTCCAGAAGCATTTTACGATTTTTTGCGCTACGAAACGTAACACGAGAACAGAAGCCGTCCGAATTTCTTTAAATTTCCACCCAATTCCATGCATTTATAATGGATTTCAGTGGCTTCAAAAAGGAGCCGCGCACTCGGAACGAATACACTGAAACGAGAATACCGACGCGTACGTAGAGGAGAAGCGTAACCCTGGTAATTTCCGGGTGGAAGATTAATTACCGGCCAGTAAAACCGTGAATAGTCTCGCATGTTTGTAAACCACCGTTTCCGAGGTAAATCTAGCCGAGTCGTGGCGCCGTAGCGAAAAAAGAGACAAGTGGTTAACATGCAAAGTTTTTAATTGCAATGCCGCGTTTACGCGCAGAAAATTAACTAGCATGCGTTCAGTCGGCAACAAGCCGTAAAAAATTTGTCTGCTTCGAAACAAGATCTCTCGGAGTAAGCAATTAAAATTTACGCTCGTCACAAGGATGGATTCATTGTCGACCACGAGTATCGTGTCTAGATCAGTCGACGGGTGATCGATTCCGACGATGAATTTTCAATTTTTCATTTAAATTCATTTTCGTTCGAGACCCTTTGAACCCCACGAACGTACGTGCATCAGCAATTTCAAAGGAATTCCATTCGATCGCATACTCGAAATGATCAACGATTCGTCGATTCGAAACGCTTTGAAATCAAACCGGAAGTATTGATTTCACGAACGCGAGTCTTTATTATACACATATACATAGATATAATAGTCACGGGTATCTTTATATCCACGAAGGCCTAATTATCGCTGGCGAGTACCTGGACAGAGGCCAAAGTCGTCCATTACCAACGAGTCTTTAACTCCGCAGGTGGTGATTATTCTTATGAATTTTAAACAACACCGGTGTACTTGGCTTAGCTAGCCATATAAATTGCCATCGTGGGTATCCTTAATTGGCCTCTGCGATGATTTGTTCGCGACTCGTGACGTACCGTCGAAAAGAAACCCTCCAGCGATCTTCGATATGCATCTGTTCTCTATGCCTGCCTACGACCCCATGATAGATGCACTTACATACTCTCGCTCACTGTGTAAATGCAGCTCTTCCTCGTGTTGAAAACTTCTAACGATCCTTCTAACGAGTTGTGCGCGCTCCACGCAAAATTCAAGTGGCGACGGAGATATGTCGTTTTTTACGATCATTAGATAAAAAGAAGCACAAGTCGACGATCGTTTCTGGTTATTCGTTATTTCACTGCGAGATCTGCTTATTAATAACCCCGCTGTTAACCGAAAAACTTCACCACGCACGGAGTCATTGAAATACAAACGTTAATTTATCACGCGTCTAGACAGGACGCAAAGGCGTAAACATCGATTCACATTACGTGTCGCGTTGATTTACCTGCGTGTTGCACGTGTGGTAACGCTTGTATGTACCGATGCAAATGGGCCGCGAGTTGCTCGTGCCATTCTCCGAGATAATGCTCCGCTTCCTTAACAGTCGCCTGAAACAAATCGGTCGCATTACTCCTACCTATCGACCAACGATTTATCTTTGCTTTCCGTACACCATTTTCGCGATCTTTAACGCGTTTCATGTTCAACGTACTTTTCGGTTAGAAGGCAGCAAGAGTGTATACATGAAACAGTGCACGTACGTGCATCGCATTAACGTTGCCTATTTCAGTCCCGTTTTTTATCGTCACGTAAAATTTATTCCACTCAAAGCGTGTATTTTTCTTTTCTTTTTTTTTTTAACGGATGAAAGACGTTCATTAATATGTTATTTTTTCCTTTTCTTATCTAAAAACAATTACGGAACACGTAGAAGAATAAAATGCACAGACTTTAAACGTAAGACAGGGGAGAGTGAAAAAGTTTTTCGTTTATTACCGTCGACTGACGGGGAAAAATACTTTAACGGTACAACAGGTCTTAAACTATTTTATCGCCGGTCGAGAAACTCACGGGTCCATCGATAAATCCTGCGCAAAGTCACGTAACCGCGCAGGTAGCGTTACAAAGGTGTAAATGTCAGCGACGATAACACGTTTCGGGGCCGCTCGCGCGATTCGTCGGCATGCCAGCGTGTAATCTTCCTCTGCTACCGATCTGCAATTTGCTCGACACTCGGTGCTCTTCGCTCGTATACTCCAAGTGCTACGAACGTGTCAAGCTTCGGAATATCGAGTTCACAGAGACCGATCGATTCAAGACCAGAGAGATCTCGCGGAAGGAAACGGCAACGTCTATGATTCTCGTATGGCTAGGATTAGGTGTTTCTTGGACCGTTTCGCGAAGTCATGGAACAGTTGCTCACGATCTTGGGTCGCGCGAAACGTTAACGGTATCGCGAAACCTGTGATTATCGTCGAAGCTGATACTAAAACGCACGATTCCCTGCTTTGCGATCGATTATTTAACCACGTTCCATACATTGCGTTCTGTTTGGGAGTAATTCGTACGAAAGGCGCAGCAACTTCGATGCAGCTTAAGAAAATATATTTTACTTACTGATATGGCACGCATTCGCGGGACTGCGACTGAATACCCGTACCACAGGTCCGTGAACACTCGCTCCAAGCACTCCACGGTCCCCAGGTTCCTCTTATACGATTATCTCGGCCAAGATTGAATTGAGTCTTCTCCCGTAGCATGTGATAGACCTGGAAAAGATTTCAACGCGTTTGTCACCGTTGTGTCTCGACTGGTCGATGCCTCGTCGATTTGCAATCGCGACGATTCACGGCTGGCATCGAATTACTCGTCAAAGCTTTGACGCAGACCCTCATTATGCAGCGCAGTCATTATTCATCGTCTCGTGTGCGAGGAATTTGAGACGTTATGTAATCACGCGCGGGCCGCGATATAATTAATTTTATTAGAAGCACCTTCGGATTAATCAATCAAAGGGTGGCGAACAAAATTGCCTGATAATCAAACGGCAGGTCCTCGCGTTGTAATCCAGCCGCGTTAATTACAACGGAGCGGAAGGAGGAGGGAGAGACGGTAACTCCGCAACGACGAGATCCGAACTGTTTGTTCAATAATTAATATCGGTACTTCCACGATTCAGATCACCCGCGAGGCCGTAATTAATTGAAAGACGGATCGTGGCGCCCGTCAATATTGGTACGCAGATGTAAAATCCGCTGGTGTTCGTAACCGAGCATATCGCGGAATACGTCATTCGTTGTTCGCTAAAAACCGCCATTACGCGAAAAGATCCGCTATGGAAATTGTACTAAAGGAAAATTAGAACGTTTCTTCGGTCGATACGTCTCGGCCTCTAATCGCGTTGAAATTTCGAAATTAGCTTTCTAAGGTTAACGACGCACCATTTCGTGGTAAAGAATGCCAATTTAATGGCATCTCTAATAGCGCGTTGCGAATTGTTGGCGAGCCGCGATTGGTTTCAGCGCGAGCCCCGCCTCAATTCAAAATTCGAGCAGCTTTCAAAAAGTCGTTAACCCGTTAAAACGAAGTAATACTTGCTTGATGACCGACATTAACTCCGGCACGTTAATCGCGCCGCGCATGAACTTGCTTCGTACACATGCGCGGGAATATGCGTATATATGGAGAGGAGGAAACGCGAAAATACTCGACAAAGGGGTAACAGGGGGGAGGGCTGGAACGGTCGGCATCGCGCAACGGCCTGAATAATGGAGCCGCGTTTCAAGAGTCTTTCCACGATGAACGATCTTAATCTCATTGTCCCGGGAGCTTTCAAAGGGATCCTTACGGGCGTAACGAACGTCTTTACGACGGATAAGAAGCTCGTATTACGGCGACGTTTCATAAGAAGAGAATTATAGATAGACGGCGGCTGCCTCTTTAAAAATTCGCCGAAATTTTCAGAATTATTTGGAACAGATTACTATCCCGAAGAGAGTCTCTCGACTTCGTTCGCGAAACGAATATCAAGAGACAGAGAGAGAGAGAGAGAGACTCGCGTGAGGAGAATACCTCCTCTTCCCGGTAGGTTCCTCTGATACGATAGAAAACTGTAAGGTCGCGCTTGTTAGCGAAGAACGATTGAAATTGGCCGGTCGACCAATCATTACGATTAACTGGAACGATCGTTCAAAGTATGTAAGTTTAATCAACGATAAGCGCCGTTATCCCGGTTGCTCCGGGTTCAACAGGTTGCCACCAAATTGTCGGCATTCTATGCCGGTTAACTAGATCGATTGAAAAATTGTACAGATTAGGCTCGATGTACACAAAGGTGTGTGCTTTGCAACGTAGACCGCGCGTGTAGAACTAACGCGGAGTACAATCGTGTATCGCCGTGCTCGTTAAAAACGACCGCGAACCGTCGTAAAGAAACGGCGGATTGAGCGAGAGCGTTAACTGAGAACGTCCAGTGTTTCTCTTTTTTTTTTTTTTTTTTTTAATGTAATCTTCGCGACCAACCATGATGATCTCGAGGCCAAGAACGATATCGCAATATTTTCCAAAACAAACGATCCATTTAAACGACCAGAAGAAGTCGATGTAACAAGAAACGCGATGTCATTGCGAGAGCTGTGTACACCAGAGTGTTAGCGTTTCACGCTCATCGTTCGCCCGGCCTTGAGGATGCAGCCAGCTCGAGTGTAATTTAGGAAGTTCCTCCAGTGTCAATTAATTATCCTCTTCGTGCCACCCAGAATAACGTCTACGTAATTGCTTATTAATTCCGGTAAGTGGATTAAATTAATATTCACCGACGAACCGTACGTTCGAGATAAAATATCTTAATGAACGAGATAGCTATGATAACGTTATTATGGCAGTAAGTTAAACGGCAAGAAGTTATGTATTAAATTATCCTGGAAATCCAACTTGGACGAGCTGCTTTACTTAATGAACATATTCCGAAGGAGATCACCTTTCGCGTATCCATGTCAAAATTAAAATACCTTCCGCATCTTTTGTAAGTCGTAACAGATGTAATCGGAGCTTCCGAGAATTACATCCTTTTCGAATTACAAGGGTCCAAAGTCGACGCATCGAGTAACAGATACTACGTCTTAATCAACCATAATGGAAAGTTACCTCGATGGGATACTTGTCGGGCACGTGGGTAGAGGAGACACTGGCCGCAGTCAGCATTGTCAAAGCTAGAATCGATCTGAAACAGAGATTGCAAAGATGCCTTAATTAATCCGACGTAATGGAATGCAATTTGTTATCGTCGTTGTCAATCTAGAAGCGGTTTGCACGAACGGTCGCCGACTGTTGAACCGAGCCAATTATCCCCTTATCGCGTAAAATATCTATCTTTCAGCTGGCTTCAACGGGTTAGATATTTCAAGAATGTGATAATCTTCCTCGGATGAGTAACGTTGCATAGTATGACGATGTAAAACACTGCCCGTCTGAGGGACTGGATAATTCTGCTTGTACATCGCCGGGACTCGTTAATGCATTCGTCCCCTGTAAATCATTTACCAACGAGAGAAAAGGCAAAAAAAAAAAAAAAAGAACAGAAACTAAAGGATCGCGACAAGGATTAATGGTATCGATACGAATAGATGGTGTTTAGATTGAATACCGAACAAACGAACGTGTCTTGCTTCCGAATCGAAACCCGCGATTAATCGAATGTACCCCGCTGATTTATCCATCGCGATTCCAGATTAATAACGACTGGCCAGTAATTTCGCGCAGATGCTGCGCTTGCATATTTAGAAACACGATCAAGGATCGTACGATTACCATGAATTTTACGATATTAAAGTTCAAACAGAATTAAACTGCTCTAAATAGCGATGAAAATCGCTACGAGAATCCGCCCCTCTCCCGGGCTATGGCGTTTTTAGAACGATTTCACGCGAAACGAATAGCCAAGCATGTGTTCTCCATCATCCACTTCGTTCCTACGGCGGATAATCGCCGTCATAGATTTCAAAAGTTCTCGATTTTCACGGCACAAATGGCGTGCATGAATCTAGGATGCGAAGCGTATAGTACCGCAGCGGCCAGGCGCCAGTTCGTTTTGCCATGGTAATTATTAAAACTGCACCGGGGATGCATCTACCGATCGGGTAGGAGAAATAGACGAGGAAATTGAAGAAGAAGAGGGGATGAATGTGAGACGGAGAGAGAGAGAGAGAGAGAGAGGGAGAAGAATGAAGGAAGGGAGCTAGAGAGGAGCAGCGACGCTGGAACAAGTAAACTGTGCCACTAAGCACTAATAACGTTTCACTTGTTGCGTTTTCTTGGAAAGCTTAATTAATCATTACGCCCCTGTGTGGCGGAGGAGGATACTAAAGAGAGAGAAAGAGCGAGTACAAGAGAAGAAGGGTCAGGAGAGTCGGACCGCCCGCAGCCACTGAAGTAGTCGCCTACTCGCGTGCGTGAAACGCACACAGAAAACACGTGTAAACGCACATTACTGCGACGAAATCAGAAAAAGCCGCATCGCGGCTTTCCACGCAATGTTCTTGCGGATCGCGTGTAAGGCTCCGTACATACTGCCCCGTGTAAAGTAGAATAAAATTAATAGTAGTACTCTGGCACGAGGGCCGGTTTGCTACAAGTACCATTTTAAAGATGTAGCATGAAACGAGAAGTGGTCGGCTCGACAGGTGTACAGGAGCTCCATTGATCATCAACGTTAAACGTCATTCTCGTCTCGTACCAGATATAGACGAGTGTCCTGTTTCGAGCGAAAGCTTTCAAGATTATTTCTCGTCCAGACAGCGTCCATGACAACGTTGGCACAGTTTTGGATACTCGTTTACCTTAATCTTGAGCTTTTAACCGTAGCAAATTACATCGAAGTTCAAAATACTGGCTTAGTAATGATCAAATAGCTCGTACAAGTATTCTATATCATAAAATGAGAACAAAATAAGGAACGTTTGAAGTGACGAAATGTGAGAAAACAGGAGGACATAAAAGTATAGAGAAGGAAAAGGCAAAGCGAAGCGTGAGAGCAGAATCGAAGAACGTGATTTGCAACGATGAAAAGGTTATCGTATAGATTTACAATTACCAACCGCGCAGCTTTATTGTCTCCCTATTACGACGATCAATTACCTCGTAAACAAACATATATCGCGCTCCCTATCTCCATTAGGTATGATTATTGTGAATTACAGCGATGTAGTTTATTGAATAATAAACGACGACAGAGCTAGACTGTGTGTCTCGGTATGCATAGCGCCTAAGAAAGGGACGTTCACGGTGCACGCAAGCGGCGCGATGAAGCATTGCACTTGCCTGGAACTGCTATGGCTAGCCGCTCGAGAGCAATCGTGTCCAGCCGCAACGGCGAACACGTGTTCCTCGCCATTCTTTGTAACGCTAAACAGATCGCAAGATCGCCGTAAAATCGTTGAACCGCTCTGTTTCAAGCTACCCTTTTTGCTTCTCGTTTTCTCGCTTACACAACGAATTTTTCTTCCCGGTAAGAATTATCGCCGTCTTCTCGGTATTATCGGTACAGCGTGTACTTCGTAACCAGACAATCGCCGATCGTCGCCTCGTTTTATATCTTCGAAGATATTTCCAAGATATTCGAGAGAAGTAGAACTTTTCCCTCGAAATCGCACTTATCTGCATTTTCGTGTTTCGCGTACTAATTATCGTCGTAGCGACGCCTCGGCGCAAGATAAATAGGGAGAATAATATCTTGCGTTATTCGAATGACAAAAGGTTCGGCTATATCCGGCGTTGTTCGTGGAAATCGTTGAAATTCTTTGACTCGACGTCTGCCACGGGCTGTCACCTATCGCGCTTGTCCTCGAGCCAAGGATTCTATGCTTGTAACTAGCGCATCAAGAAACGCGCGTGCACTCTTTATTCATCGGTTTTTAGCATTCCTACGCCATTGAAAACAAGACAGACATTGTTTATCGCGGCATGTAACGCACCGACTACAGCGATAGCCAAGTCGTAACGGGTCGTAGATACGACCCTCGACTGTGAGATCTCTCGCTATAAGGTCGATACGTTCGAAGAAAAAAAGAGGAAAAGTAGGAGATGAAGAAAACAGCTCTGGATTGCGTTGCGAACACACACAGTCTGATTTACGTTCCCAATCTCGCCGGACGCTTTTGTCGAGTATCTCACGGGAACATGATAATTTATCCGATACTGATATTTTCCCGGAATTTCACGAATCCGTACGGCTCGCCGAGCAAAATTAATTTTAGCTGGTGCAATGATCCGATAATGATCCCCGCGAGACAACGATTGCGCCCGATTAGCACTCGCTCCTCCCGGAGATATTTCATTGAAACGAGTTAGGGTCAGTGAACACGGGCGGGACGATAGGGTGCAAATACCAGATTCAACGTGACAAGTACGTATGATCAGCGACGAACGATAACACGAACTCGATATTTTATCGACCAGCATAGCCAACGAACTTTATCGACGTCTTTGAATATATTCGAGGCCGGTATAATCTAACAAAACTGCTCCCAGTAGCCGTCAATGTTTTTGCAATTATAACTTGTAGTTTGATATTTCGCGCTATCTTGGTTATGATATATTTTCATTTTCTACTTGACTGTGACATCTTCGTGTCTTAAACGCTTTGTTCTACGATTCGTTCCTTGGCTGTAATCTATGAAAAGTTATCGCGCGATTCGACGTCTGAAAGTCTGTAGAACCCGATCGTTAACGTTTAGTGAAACTTCATTAATCTCGTCGAGGATATCATCGAACAGCAAATAAAAGCATCTCGACAAATAACAATTAGTCGCGATAACAACGAAACGGCGCTCTCTCCAAGGACGACGTATAACTTTCCAATGCTCGGTGGAATTCGTTCGATAAATCGCGGTGTTTCTGCGGGCAAAAGGCGGATAAGAATAACTGACCGGCCTGGCGTCGCGGGAGGCCGGCGAAATCATTTTAACCACGGTGGTCCGAGACGAGGGATTTTCGTCTCCAGCAGGGGGACCAGAGACGATACGTACGCGCCGGACACAAAAAAGAATGACCGTGAAATATGATGCACGATACACGTACAGCATTGTCTCGGTAGGCTGTTGAGCATCTCCGGCGTTAACCGAGGGAAAGGAGCAAGAAGTCGCCCTCGGACAATGGGGGCGTGAGTCTCGAATGGCTCCTCTAATGATACCGGAGCACCTCGATCGAACAGCGTATAAATGCAAGCGTTACTGCAAAGCTGCGAACGTTCCAGTTTACGCGTGCATTACCGCGCACGCTCCGACTTCTTTTTCCTTCTCCCTTTCTTTTTTCTCTCCCTCGCTTTCTCCTTTCCGTTTGTCGTGCTTTTATTGAAAACGAAACAATGGTATCACGAGAATGTGAGAATTTGCCAAGGAAAGTACGACAGGTAGAGACGCGAATATCCGACGATCTTCAACACAGTCGGTGTTCTTGTTGTTACCGGTTGAAGCTTCCGGGTATAGGCCGCGTCTTTGATGCGATGTTATTCCGACGTTTCATTTCGCTCAACGAGGGATCATGGAGTCCCTGCGATGCGAACGAAGCTGGCTATACCGCTGGTAAATCGTTGCAGTAATACGTAGACATATGTTATACAGCTTGAAGCCATGTCTTATCGAAATATAGAAGAATACGGTGGAAAAGGAAATGAGAAGGATTAGGTAGGTAGCTGTAAGAAAGGTAGATCTACACCTGATAAAGCATTATGATTACTCGAGAGGCTAAGACACGTGGAATGTATTCGTTCTCGACGAGAATAATTGGTTTGTCACGAACTGTGGGAATATTCGATGTTGGCTAGAAGCAGAGGAATTCGTTGCATGTAAAATGGCATCGGTGCGATCGAAACATCGTCGTTACTGTCGCGTTGCTGTGTCAACCAAGAGCGGGGAGATGTTTTGCGACGTTGTTATTGCACTAGAACCCCGTCACCGTCGGTTTCCGATAACCAAGCCGCTGTCACGCTGCAGTTGCCGTTGTTGTCGCCATAAACATTCTACCTCGTTCCTCTCGTTTCTTCTCGCGTGTCTCTCTCTCGGTCTCTCCCTCGTGGCGTACTTCTAGCTTTCTACACGTCGTTCTCCGTTCTGGTTGTCTACCGTATTGTCGCGCATTTTTCTCTTGTTCCCTTGATTCATCGTTGTCCCCATCTTTTCTCGCGAGTTCCTCCGCGATGTAAGGCTCTTCCGTCCTCGTAGGCTC